GTGATACACTCTAAAGAGGAGAATAAACCCGTCAGATTTTAGATCACTTGTTTGTGTACTGGGCACATTTTAAGTTTCCTTGAACTTTGACTTGGGTACCGGGTCAAAGTTTGATAATTGATTGGAAAATTTGTTTCACTTTTACCCCAGAATAAAATCTGGCCATTCTGCTTCAATCAGTCCAAATCAGGCAGATTTGGTTAGTCATTCTGGCTTTGGTTGAAACCAATGGATATCCCTATTTATTGCTGTCCTTATGATCAAGTTGATGGTGCTGCACCCCAAGCATTAGCAGCAGCAGTATCATACCTATTCCTAGAACATCTTCAGTTGTTGAACTCATCCTGCTACCTACTGGTATAAGCAACCAACACAGATGTTCATCTAGCAGTACACTGAATAGAGCACAGGACCAGGACAAGGTGGGACATATTTGGTGCTTCTAGGTATTCCATCCTCCCCAAGCAGCTTTGAGTTTGAAAGATCAAACAGTGTGGTTAAGTTCTAAGGGACTGCAGTTGGTGACATTCCACACCATCATTCCTGATCACAGGGCGTCTCTGTTAAATATCAGCCTTAACTTCCAGTTCCCTAGCTTACGTATGCAGCTTATGCCAACATACTGTAGCCTTAACACTCGTCTTCGACTGCCCTTTCTAGTTGCTGAATATTAGACAATGACAGTGATAAAATCATTGTGGACTATTGCATTACATTATATTTCTGAGAATTTGATTGCTAGGGAAAATAAAAAGACAAGACGGCAAAAACATGCCAGCCTCACTGATTTATGTAGTCTTTCTCTGAATCTGTGGCATGTTTGAAAGCTGAACAATAGATTTAAGTGTCTGGGATAGGAGGGGATGAATTTATGATACTGACTCCAATTATCCTATCCATTAGGTACTTTTCATATTTGCATAAGCTTATCCACAGTACTACAGGTATCATAGCAATAAACACTCTGTCGGGGACAAGTGATACTATATTTTCCTAGGTAGGAAAGAAAAGTGCTGCTTGGAGGAGAGGCAATGACAGCTGTGCAAACAAGGATGTCATTTTTAATGGTCATTCAGTGGGCAAAAACACCCCAGCACTGATTGCCATCAATTCATAGATTGCTGAACAGTTTGTGTGACTTAGCTGTAATAAAGCTCATAAGCGGAATATAAACTAGAATAGTAACAGTGCATTGCAACAACCCGGAAACCACAAGGCTTCACCTCTCATAAAGATCCCATTGCCTGACGTTGGCCATAAGGCTCTGAATTCTGTTTCACAGATATGCCTTTCACTTCTGTTGCTCTCTTCTGTCTAGGTATAGGGCAAGGACCGAGAGGTCAGCAAAGGAATGTTTATGTCCTTGTGGGGGAAATGTTAACCAGCAAGTGATAAGTTGTTCTTGTCTATTATTACTTGCTTGAGTGAGTTCATTCCAGATCTCAAAGGTTCTTCAGGTTTCACTCATGTGAGACAACACGGGCAGGCAAGACACTTGTTGCCTTTAGATGAATTCTTATTGGAAGTCAATGGATTTCTCCTCTTCACTAGGATTGCTTTATAGAATCAGTATTAACCCCTTCCTAACTGAAAGCAAATGCACAGGGCTTTGCAGGTATGCTTCCTGGTGGATATTTTTGTTTTTTGTCAAGTAATGTCAAATGCAATGGATGAATGCTTGCTTCCATAGGAGTTCTGTCATGTGTATACTTACATGGAAGTAGCTCCAACTAATCTCATAAAACAGCACCCAGTGGTCAAACTAGAAAGAGTAGTAGCATATCTTCAGAAGGAGTGCTCCCACAGATGGAATAAATATCTGTATGTCATTGCACATCCTTTCCATCATATAGCGATCTTGAAGTTGACAGGCTTTGTTTTGATGTTGGTCACTAGAATGTAAACATGGGTTTAATTTGTAAATCTGATTACTGAAGTGTGAATCTCTAAGGAAATCACACAGTGAAAGAAAAAGTAGGCTAATCATGAGATATGCATTTCCCCTTAAAGTCTAATAGGTTGATGAGTAATCAAAGGCTGTTTATTTAGGAAGAAACATAGCAACATGCAATGCTGCCTTAAACTGATCCGGCTACCTTGACTGAACTAGTCAGTAACTGGGAGTCTCCGATTAGAGCTGTTTCTCCAGTGTTTGGGGCAGGATTCTTTCCTGTACCTCCCTCATATGTCATGGATAGAACAGAGATCTTCTACAAAAAAATCTCCTCTTCTTTAAGTGACAGCTTCTTATGTGATCTTTATCTGCAGCATACCTTAAGCTCAGTGGCCAGCTCCAGTCTTGTTATGAACACTTTTAAAATTGCACTCTCTTGTGACTGAACAGCATGTGCATATATCTCATGGTACTTGATCAGATTCCTGTCCCAGACCAGACTTTTCCACCAATGACATGATTGCTTGCCGACATTCAAAACTTTAATAGGATTTATTTTTAAAAAGGGGTTAATCCTCTTCAAGATCTAGCTCTATTGTCTTTGTTAATCCATAATTAAAAATACATCCAAGAAAGCTAGGCTCTATATTTGCTCACATTCAAATTATGTCCCTTTAATGTATGCTATGAGCTGGCTGGATAGCTCAGAAGTTTAGGTATCTGGCTGCAGAGCCAGAGGTTGGGAGTTCAATTCACCACTGTGCTTCCTATGAGTACCACCAACCTGTGCAGCCTTGGGCAAGGTGCACAGTCCCAGGACTGCCCCAGAAGAAGGGAATGGGTATTCTCTACTTGGAAATGACTAAATTCAGACATTCTGGCTTGACTGTTTTGTAGAACAGGTTAGCATCTGTTGTAGGGAGTAAGGAGTTTCTCTTAGAGCAGTTTCTGCCAGCAGGGATTGCTGAGCAAAAGCATTCTTTTTGCTTGTTCATTCTTCTGTAGTCCTGACATCCCACTCCTTTACAACCTTGATCATCCTGATGCAAATAACTCTTATTTCTATCAACACAATGTCTCTTTGAATCCACACTCTCAGGGTCAAACTATCAATTATTTTGCAAAAGTGGGGAAATACAGTACATCCATTTATCTTAGCACATGATTCTCCTCACCTACACATCTTGCATTTAATGTACTTTGTTTTATGATTGTTTTTGGAAAGAAAACACGGGTTGCCTTTGCAAGTCTCATTGCTGAAACATGTCTGTCTGAGGAAATCCTACTGCAGGATAGAAAATAAGTTAATTATATGGAATACAAATTTACATTATTAACATTTAGTTTGACTGGGAGTGGGGAGGGCTAATACTTGGCGCTGGTTGTCATTCACCCATGCTTATTGAGATTCATGGCTTTTATTTGGGGTTGCATATTGTACATCTAACTGCACATTTTGAGATTTACATTGTGTGTCTCAAATTGTACATGGATTACAATCTCTTCACCCTAGCAGTGCTGATTAGATATTAAGATTTGTTTCATGCAATATTGCAGTAACTGCTCTCCTACCACTGTTGCATCTCTAAAGAGCTATTTCAACAGGTCTAACTTGCTGTTTCTAAGTTTCACACTTGAACACTGAAGTGACAGCTGAATCAAGAGGTGGTAAGGTTGCTACTGAAGGCAGGGGAAGAGCTTTCCTAAGGAATGGCCTTTCCTCCTTTGTTTTCATTTTATTTTGACATTAGGAGGTGTGCCAAAAGCTTGCCCAGACACTTGTTGCAGCTTCCAAAATGAATGAGCAAAAACAGAAAATTGAACATCTCCCTACGGAGTAATTCTGAAGTTATTAGATACACTGCTACTGGATGAAAGATAGATAACCACTGGATCAACATGTGTCCTCCTTTCTTTAAAGATGGATTCCCTGAAACTCTCCCCACTGTAGATGTGTCTGTTCTATGGGTCCCCTTCTGTGGGCCAAGCTACATTGGACAGCTTCACAGTTAGGAAGTGACATAGTGTTAGTGCTATGCAGACAGGTTATTCATAGCTGCTTTCCACAATCAAAATGTGACCAGAGTCTGTTGTTTCCTCCAAATGAGCAATCACCAAACAAATGCAACCTAAGTTGCAACATGTGAAACTGTCAGAGAATGTTAGAATGTCTCATTCACTTTATTCCTTAAGTGACTTCTGCTTCTAATTGCGGAGCTCTCCGTCTCATCTGTTTTGACCCTTTCAGCAGTTTAAAGCTCAGCAGGAAGCTTGTGGAAGAGAATACCAGAGAATGGCATTTTAGAATCTAAGCAGTCACCATGATAATGGTGCTAAAGATGTAGCAATGCTTAATTAATGTAAGCAGTGGAATGGAAGGGAAAGAAAGTGAGCAGCCTGTTTGTGTCTATGACAGCTGTGTTTCGAGACCAAACTCAACAGGCAAGCTGGCACCTCTCTTAACCATGTTGCCAGCCTTTTCCTCTCAGTAAAGGTTGGGCTGAGACTTTCAGCCATTTAGAAGAAGACTTCTTCAGAGCCTTTTAGCAAAGAACATGCAAGTGATAGAAAGGGCAGTTTATGAGGGACTGTGATGAGACTTTGCTTTATCTGAGACTGGGACTAACATTCCCTAAGACCTTCCCATGACATGATAAGCCAGGGATCTGCACAATCATGGGCTGCCCACTAGGGGATCTGGGGCTCAGGCTAACCCCAGGCGGCCCACTGTGGGACCTCTCAGTGTCCATGTGAAAATGCTTGTCTCACTTTGTTTGTGATTGTGTGTATGATGTGTGTGTATGATGTATGTGTTGGTGTTAAGTGTGCATATGAAAGGACATTATCCTAGTCCCAGCCTTCACCCTCCACTATCGCTTTGCCTTCTGAGTCACCAATCACAGTGGCCACATGCTGCCCCTAGATTAGCATGACAAACCTACAAACCTGGCTTGTCACGAATGAATGACCAACCATGGCACATTAGGGGTCCTATAGATCTCTGGCTTGTTGTGCTCTACAAATGTGCCAGTGTCTTGTTTGTACCTTAATTTTGTTAATTATCTACCCTTTAAAAATGGTTTTATTATCCTTTTTTTTTTTGCAGAGCAAAGGAAAAAGTACTCCAACTCCAATGTCATTATGCATGAGACATCACAGTACCACGTACAGGTGAGTCAGAGACACTCACATTAATGAGCAATAAAATTGCCTAAGTTAGAAATGCTGTTGATGTTGCAGTTTGTCTCTGAACATTGATCTCTCAAATGGCACTTTTATAATATAATTACCAGAAACAATCTATAGCATATCATTAGGATATGCTGGCAGTACTGGAGGCCAGTGGGGACTTTTGATCTTTGTCCTCCTTTCTCTTCATCCACGTGCTCAGAACAACGTCCACCCATTTCCCATTTCCTGAGTCCTTGCAGAGATCAGTTACATTGGGGTGAGCGAAGGATTGACTGGGATCTACTGGTAGATCTCTGAGTGATTTCTGACTCTCAGGATTTCTGAGATTTCTGGATTACATTTCTGACTCCTTATTATTTAAATAACAAATAATTTCACCCTCACCTTTCCAAAAATCACATTTGAGAAACGAAGAAAGCTTGGCCTATATGTTTTTTAGGCCGCAGTTGGAAGGTCTCAAGGTTCTTTAAAAAAACAACAACAGCATCTCTTCCAAGCCCTAAGGCTGCCTAGTCTAAACCAAACAATTGTTTCCCCAAACATTTGATCACTGAGGCTTAGAGCTTTTTGTATTTGACAACCAAAGATGTATGGAGCTTGGGAAAGATACTTTTTTGGTTTACAACTCCCAGAAGTGTCCAACCAGCAGCGATTCTGGGATTCTTTGAGTTCTGACAATCTGGCAGTTACTTTTTTAAAGTGACCTTTCCAAACTTTGCTCCTAGAGCAGGGGGTGGGCAAACTACAACCCCTGGGACTGCATGGCGATCAGAGTAGACATGAAGGGGAAACCTGAATCTTCCTCTGGGATGTTCCTAAGATCAGTCCTGCTTCAGAATCTGGTATATATGAATCTAGTGGGCATGGAGAATCCCTTCCCAGTTATTTGCATCTAAGAAAATGCTGCATGTTAAATGCAAAAACTGATTTGATGTCACATTTAACAATCCTTGAGTTAGTTGAAATGGAAGATGGACAATTCAAAATGTGCACAGTGTGGAGAATATGGACAACTGGTTTCATTAGCTGCATCCCCATTCCTCTTGACTCTGTGTAGGTCAGATGATGGCAGGGGACATGGACACATAGTTGAACCTCATGGATGTGACCATGCCCCCAGTCCTCACAGTGATGACTTGAACTTCTAGACATGGTTACAGCAGGGGACCTGGCTTTGCTTCTTCCTTGACTTCCCTGTATGGCAGGCAACAAAGGGGAGCAAGCACACTGAAGCACCATCTGTAGGGATGTTTCTTCAGTTGGTGTCTGGATCTAGGAAACTTCATGTGTTCCTATGCTTCCCCCTATTGTGGAGAATATGGAATGAAAGAAAGCAAAGTGTGCTGTTTAAAGCTCTCTCTGGGTGTTTTGTAATTTAATTATGCAAGCTACACATTGCACACACACACCAGCAAGCTGGATACTCATTTTACCATCTCCGGAAGGATGGAAGGTTGAGTCAATCTTGAACCAGCTACCTGAGCCTGGGATCAAACTCAGGTCATGAGCAGAGTCTTCACTGCAGTTATTCAGTTTAACTACTATGCCACGTGGAAGAAGCTAACTGCGAAACCTAGGAATGAGTTGCAGAAGTATTCCTGCAGCTGGTTGTTGGGTCTTAGAAGCTTAGAAGCTCATCTTGTGATTTTTCTCCATTATTGAAAATATAGCAGAGATGAAGCTCTCTATTGTTATTACTGATCACAGATAATATGAGGGATTTAGTTGTATGGTATCTGCTTTCCCAGTTGGGAGGGCAAGCAATCTAAGGGAATCACTGCAATTATCATTGATTTCTGATTCTCCCCTCTTATTGTTCCTGATTGGGGATGTAAGCAGGAGGTTGGTGTGGGAAGTCTCCAAGTGGTGGGCCTTTGGAGACTGTTGGCTGTTCTCCAGATTACACTCTATAGATCATATTAGGCCATGCAGTCCAGAGGTTCCCCTTTGCTGTGTACTGTATATTCAGTTCACACATTTTGTGTGAATGTGTGAATGAGAGACCAGGACAGTTGTGTTCTCCCCCACACACACTTCACATGTGCATTCTACACAGGTGAAGGCATGAACATTTATCTTTTGGGGACTGCATATATAAATATTCCCTCATTTAAAATAGTCAATTAATCATTGTTCCAATACTGTATTTAATATTTATGTGCATATACAAAATACCTCTCAGGGAAACTGTAAATGGACTCTTCTGTTTTAAAATATCAGGCACTAATGTCTGATCATGTCTACTAGAAAGGAGACTTTATTCCTTCCAGCATTTTCATGAAGAATCGGACACAAATTAATGACTAAACAATAACAATAGTGAATTACCATCTAAACACTACAGCAAGTAACAGGAATGATTTTTTTAAAGAGTAAATTTTGAACGTTATGACTAGATAGGCAGATTACAGTAGAGGGCTGGAGATGTTGACTCTTTATACTGGAATATGAGAAGGTGCTCTGCTAAACTGCTAGATAAAGGAGTCCACAACTGCTGTTGTTTCCTTTAGCCACTAGTCATTGTTGCTGTTTGTAGAACAAAGCTTCAAAAGAAAAGAAATGAATACCAAAAAGGGATCTTAAATCATTACTAGGTGTGAAATGTAACTTGAATCTACCCACCATCCCACCCCTTAATCTTCAACCCCTAAATGAAAGTTATGCCATGTAGTCTCTATAGCAGGGGTTTCAAACATGCGGCCCAGGGGCCGTTTGTGGCAGGCTGCAGTTCCAGATGGAGGGTGCAAAAGGCGCTGTCTTGGGGGAGAGCTGGTGAGCGAGGTGCACTGCTGGGCCTTTTTCCCGAGCACCCAAGCCACCGCTGAGCAATGCCTGAGAACTAAGGAAACTCCTGGGCGGCTTCCTCGGGCTCTTGCTCCGCTTGGCAGAAAATACGTTCACCACTTCTCACCCAGACTCTGCCTCCAGCGGCCCCCAGGTAAATTGAGTTTGAGACCCCTGCTCTATAGTCTCCCTCTTATATCTGTAAGAACTCTCCTACAAGAATATAAACGTCTTTAAGGTGCCACAATGCCGTCATCATCATCATCTTCTTCTTCTAAAACTCTAAAAAGAGGTCTGTTTCTGTGAAGCCAACATCTCTGTGTGGCAAGCTGTGCCCTTTGCAATAGATACAGTGGAATGACCTGCTTCTTGTCGCTTCCCTCTGATGGCAGAGGGTATTAGGTGACTCTTACTAATGTGCTGCATGGAACAACGACCAAAAGAGAAAGATGAGGAAAAACTCTGCCTTTACTATGGATCTCATCATGCTGCCCAGCCTTGCAGTGTTCCACACCATTTTATTACAAACCATTCAGAAACCTGAAAACTAGAAATCAGGCCACATTATCAACTGCTGAATAGTTTTCTTGGCCATGTCAGCAAGCTCAGAACTGAGCTTGTTCAATAGCAAGTACAACTGTTCCTGACTGAGTTTCTACTGCCTTCAGAAAGCGGCATTCCCAGTTTTGGTCTCAGTACAAGCATACAACAATGCAGTTGGGGAGAGATTGAGCTAAACATGGATCACTGCGTATCTATTTTTAAAATACCTAATCATATTATAAGAAGACATTTAAAATGTAGTTTATCTATATAATTCTCTAACATGTATACATGCAGTATGCTAGTCAAGGAGCGAGGATCAGACTGCAAGTCTATGTCCAGTGTAAGTCCAGTGTAGATCTTCAGTCTATATATTGAGGAAAATATGTGTTTGGTCTGTTTAACCCATTCTCTCTCCTACTGATGGATTTTATTAGAGATATGTGCCTCAGGAATTAGCCTTGCCATTTAAGCCCCTGTTTCCCTTTCAACATCCACTAACAACACTCAACATGCTAAATGCAGGATATGTAGGAGAGGAAAAGTACTGTGCCATGATAAACATCTTTTATCACTTGAGGGAACACTGCATCTGAAAACGTGCTAAACATATTGTGTATTTTGATCTGAAACTTTGACTCTGCATAATATGAGCTTATTACAAAAATATGAGAATTGTTGTCCTTAGATTTGATTATCAATGCATGAACACACACATGCACATAGACATACACTTGGTAGAGGAGAAAAGGTCCATAGGAAATATTTCCCATAAGTATGGACTGAACAACCTGCTATTATTCTGTTAATATCCAGCTATTATCTAAGTCTACCATGCAGGCAAATGGGACACAAACCACTGTAACTGCAAGAGCACTGAAGAAAACTCAGAAACTCTAGTATACATGGAATTAAATTAGTCTGCAGCATCTCCTACGTACTCTTATGAATGGTCACACCTTTCCTCTCTCTTCCAGCATCTAGCCACTTTCATCATGGATAAGAGTGAGGCCATTGTAACCGTGGATGATGCCATCCGGAAGCTCAAGCAGCTGAATTCTAAAGAGAAGATATGGGCACAAGAGATGCTGTTGCAGGTTAATGACAAATCTATCCGTCTACTGGACTGTGAAACTCAGGTGAGTAACAGAAAAAAATTTTCCGAGATGGAGTCAAGGGAAGAGGAATATTAAATGCTCCCTTCAACTCACACTGTTTCCCAGTTGCCTAAACAACAAGTTTCTGCAAAAAATTTAAGCTGAAATGTATTAGCACTGCATCAATCACAACAAAAGTACAAAGGTGGACTAATTTCGCCCTGTGTACGTGTGGGGCAAGTCCAATACATCTATTATTTGTGTGCTTGTATAGGATTGCTCTAATCAAGCTATTAGAATGATGAATTAGCTGTTAATGGAAATACATTCTGCTCTGCAAAAGTACCTTGTGCCAGTAAGACAGCTTATTTGCATTTGAGTGGCACCAAAAAGATCTAGACAGTTTTGGAGTCTTGCTGGGAAATGCTTTGTTTGAAAGGTTGTAATAATATAGAATATCTACAACAGGAATGGGGAGTTGCTAGCCCTCTTTTCCACATAGGAACTAAGGAAAATGTGTTTCTGTAGCAGAATTAAGAATAAACATCTGTTTAGGTAACCTAAAGACAAAACATATACCTGGAACAGAAGTAATGCTCATTTCTAAGGAGGTATGGAAAGGCTGACATGGACATCTGTAGCCATATGTGTAAATTGGGGCATGTTCTTCTGGATCATAATTCTTACAGGGAATTCTTAGAGAGCAGTGTCTGAAAGAGTTGGAGTTGTTATCCAGATCTGAACAATATCAGCCTTGAGAAATTTGTAATAGAGTATATTATTTGCTCATTCAGACAATATGTTTACTTATCTCTGCATCTGTATTTTTTATGAGCTGTCAAGTTGCTCCCGACTTATAATGCCCCCATGAATGAGTGATCTCCAAAATGTCCTGTCCTTAACAACTCCACTCAGCTCTTGCAAACAAAAGTCCGTGACTTCCTTTAGGGAATCAATCCATCTCATGTTCAGTCTTTCTCTTTTCCTGCTGCCTTCCACTTTTCCCAGCATTATTGTCTTTTCTAGAGAATCCTGTCTTCTCATGATGTGTCCAAAATAGGACAAGCCTCAGTTTTAAATTTTTTGCCTCCAGTGATTGTTCAGGCTTAATTTGATCTAGGACCCACTTATTTATCTTTTCAGCAGTCCAGAGTACATTTTGAATAAATATTTTATGTATTTATTTTTTTCTATCAGCTTTCTTTACTGTCCAGTTTCGCACCCATGCATGGTGACTGGAAATGCAATCGTGTGGATGATTTTGGTCTTCATTTCCAGTGACACATCCTTACACTTCATTATCTCTTCTAGTTCCTTCATTGCTGCTCTTCTGAATCTGTCATTTAAAATATCCAGTTTTCTATATACCATTGGGATTTACAGAATACTGTAAGGGGAAAGTAGTAGTACAGTGGTGCCTCAACTTATGACCATAATCCGTTCCAGAAGATGGACGTAACTCGAAATGGTCTTAAGTTGAAGCACCATTTCCCATAGGAATGCAATGAAATGCAATTAATCCATTCACTAGAAAAAAAAATATCACTGCAAGACTCATTGGAAACACGATTACCGTAATCCCTTCCGGTTGAAGAGGGGGGAGAGAAAAGCACTTGAAAAAAATATCACTGCAAGACTCATTGGAAACACGATTACCGTAATCCCTTCCGGTTGAAGAGGGGGGAGAGAAAAGCAATCAAGCATGCAAGATCCATTGGAAATTTGAAGGGTGGGGGGAGAGAAAAGCAATCAGGCATGCAAGATCCATTGGAAATTTACAGAAAACAAACGGAGCAGGTTGGAAATGCACAAAGAACAAAGGTAGCATGTTGGAAATGCAAAGAAAACAAAGGGAAAAGCAAGGGAAGAATGCAGGACCCATCGGAAATGGGGGAAAACCCCAAAAAGCAACCAAACCCCCCAAGATCCATTGGGAATGGGGGGAAAGCCAAAAAAACCCACAAACCCCCCAAGACCCATGGGAAATGGGAAAAACACTCCAAAAAGCAACAAAAAAACCCCAATACCCAGCAGAAATGGGGGGAACCTAAAAACAAACAACCCCCCAAGACCCATCACAGCACAGAAACATAACCCTCCAGCTCAAAACCATGCTGCAAAAACACCCAGAACAGTTTTTAAAAAGCAGAAAACAGCACCTTACCTTACCAGGCAGCCCAAAGCCTCCCTGCAAACACACACTCACATTCACTCAGAAGCAGAAGGAGGCAGTCCCAAGCCTGCTCCGGTGCATACTCTCTAACTGCTAGGGTGAAAGAGCTACACTCACTCAGAAGCAGAAGGAGGTAGTCCCTAGCCTCCTCCGGTGCATCCTCTCTAACTGCTAGGGTGAAAGAGCTACAAAGAAGCAGCCTCGTTGCCACCTACAGTTAGAAATGTAAATTTCCTGCCTTTTTTCATTCGTAAGTGGAAGCTAAATTTCCCGCCGTTTTTCATTCGTAAGTGGAAGCTCCAGTCGCAAGTACAGTGTTGCCTTGACTTACGACCGTCCCTGCTTATGACCATTTCAAATTACGACCAGCTCCAGCCGTAAAATTTTACTTCAACTTGCGGCCAGAGCTTTGAGTTACAACCAGGAAAAGGGAGGGGAAAAAGGTGGGAAATTCAAATTGTTGGTGGTGAAGAGGCTTCTTCTTGTAGCGGTTTTGCCCCAATGGTTAGAGAAAGGGATGCTTCGTGGGGGGGGGGGAAGCAGTGGCAGGGATGTTACCGCACCTGATGGTGGAACCCCGGTCCTCGATTTTGGTGCGGGGGTGGAGGAGCTCCCAATCCTGGCTCCTGGAGGAACAGTCCTCCTGCGCCACCGCCTCCTCCTTCTTGGTGGGGCCGTTCCCAGTCTTTGGCCCTGAGGGGCCAGCTCCCCTTCTCCAGTGGTGGATGGCTCCTGAGCAGCAGGTGGCTCCCCTGCTGGGGGCACCTGACACCGCCACCTGCTCCAGCACCAGTGGCTGCTTGCCGGGCACCTGATGCCACCTCCTGCTCCAGCACCAGTGGCTGCTTGCCGGGTTGGCTGCGTTGGGCTTTGGCGCTCCTCGCCACCCTCCTGGCCCTCCACCACTGCTGTGGGGTCCCAGGCCTCAGCCGGGGGGTGGAGGGACCCCCGATCCTGGATCCCGGAAAAAGGTTCTTCCTATGCCGCTGCCTCCTCCTTCCTGGTGGGGAAGCACCTTGAGAGGCTCTGCCAAGTCCGGCTGAGAGGACCCTTCCTCTAGGAGCTGGGATCGGGGGGCCCTCTGCCCCAGCGCCGAGGCTGAGGACTAGGAGCCAGCAACGGCAGTCGCATTGGCAACGCGGAGGGCAGTGAGGAGCACCGCCTGGCGAGCAGCCTCTTTGCCACCAACGTTTTAAATTTGCCGCCTTTCCCCCTTGCTTTGTGTTGGGGTGCTGTGCTCTGGTGCTGTCCTCTGAAGATGCCGGCCACATAAACTGGCAAAACGTTAGGAAGAACAGCCTTCAGAACACGGCCAAAGAGCCCGAAAAACCCACAACAACCATCACCACTTTCCCTTGTGTGACACCACACAAGGGAAAATCCCAGAAGCTGACTCCTTTTTTCATCAGTTCACCACTTCTCACCCCAACACAAAGCAATTGTCAGGGCTGTTTTTCAACAAGTGTGAATGGTAGTGAGCAGACAAGGGTTTCCTGTAGACCCATCTTGATTGCTGCCATTGGTGTTGTCAACATTCAGGCTGCCCTTTGCTATGTAAAGTTTGGTGTCCTTTTTCCTGCTGGCAATGCTGGCATGATATTTTGTAGAATTGTGGGTACAGAAGCACACTATTCCTCATTCATAAACTTCAGGCTTTTTGAAGAATTGAATACATTATGTATCTGGATAAATTGTTTGCAAAGCTTATGCCTGATAAAACTTTGTAGTCTTTAAGGGACCACAAGACTCTTTGTTGGTTTTGTTACATAAGAGAACAGATTAACATGCTGTCACTGGCAATTTCTGTTACAGATGTAAGTACTGTGAATCAAATGTAATCATGTTAATTGCCTTCCTCCTGAAATGACTATTACAATGGAAAAGTGATGCTTGTAACTAGAAGTTGGTTTCAAATATTATCTCTCTATGCCTCTCTATCTCTTCCCCCATCCCTACAACTGCATTTCAGGAAGAGCTGGAAGACTTCCCTCTGCCAACAGTCCAGCTCTGCCAAACAGTGCTGAACCAGATGCGATACTCATCCATACTCCTGCTGGTCTGTCAAGACTCGGAGCAGCACAAGCCTGACATTCACTTCTTTAACTGTGATGAGGTGGAGGTAAACCGAGATAATCTAATCTTCTTTGGCAGAGAAGAGGAGGGAGAGCGGAGGTCTCCACAGCATAGGGTTGACGTTTACATGAACCTGAAAAACAAAGATGTCCACCATGGCCATGATCTGACCCTTTGTATACCAACAGGGTTCTTCTGTTGTTGGCAGTAATAGCGAAAAGCAGTTGTTGTTTTGGAAGACTACGGAAGGGAAGTCCCCATGATTGTCCCAAATTAAGATAATGGCCAAAGGCTGAAATGTGAAGGGTCCAGGAACACCTCTGAGAGACTTAATTAAGCTCTGTCTCTACACTCCCATGTTACTTTGAAAGTATATTATTTTTAATATAGAAGACAGGGGATATTTGCATTGTGTTGCTGGAGGAATTCCACAGAAATAAAATTCAGATATCTGTATGCATCATAAGAATAGCTGGTTTTTAGTATCAGGGATAGGGGAGAGACAGAATAGGCCTTCTGCCTGCTTTCTTCACATAATGCGCCTTTAGCATGCCTATGCTGTACAGTATCCGACTTTTTTACTCAGTTGCAGACAGTGCAAACTTTTCCAGGGGAATTTCACCAAAATCAAGTATTCAGAGTGGCTGGCTTGCTAGGATGGTGTGTTCTATCTCTGAAGAAGTTCTCTTGCTCTCCAGTCCAGCACACCAATTTCCTATCCATTGAATTCCTTTCCTTTCCTTTCAGGATTGTAAATAGATAGATGATGAGCATGATAGGATAGAGTCAGGCAATGACCATTTGATGGGCTAGTGTTCTTTGGTAGGCGAGTATGATGAAGACGAATTTAACATTTCAAGAGGAGTCAACAGCAGGTCCTCCAACTATGGCTGACCACGAATGAGGCCAGCTTCATTTTCATGTCACAACTTGTGTACTGAATTTAGATAGCAGGAGCTGAACCCTGGATCAGGTACCAGTCTTATCCTTTCCCTCGTTAGTTGGCGTGTCCATCTCTGGTATCTTTTAAGGAATTTGTACAAGTTATGTTTCTTTCACATTACAATAATAACAACAATAATAGTACTAGTAGCTGTAGTGGTAGTAACAACCACCACAACCATTTCAAATACATTTCTCTCTTCAGTAATGCTAGGGTTAGGGATGCCAGATTCCCATGTATTTCAAAATCTGTGTATAACTCTTGTGCCCCCACAAAAATAACTACAAAGGTTGTGCATCATGAGAGTTAGCTTCATTTTGTTTATTTTTTCAGGTGTGCCTCACCCTTTTTTGTGTAGTAGTCTTTTCCTTCTACACCAGTGGTTCTTAACCTTTGTTACTCGGATGTTTTTGAACTGCAACTCCCAGAAACCCCAGCCAGAACAGTTGGTGGTGAACGCTTCTGGGAGTTGCAGTCCAAAACTCCTGAGTAACCCAAGGTTAAGAACCAGTGTTCTACACAAAAAGAGAAAGCCTCTTTCAGATCGTTTGTTTCTAGTTTCCTAGTCTGGTTTCCTGATACTCAAAAGCTCTAAAGACACCTTAAAAAATTTACTCCAAAAAGCAGAGAAGCAAAGCATCAGAGATCAGTTTGTTCCAAAAGCAGACCAACAGTACAGGGGAAAGAAAAATCACCATTACTGTCACTAAGTCAATCCCCTGGTTGACCTCCACATGACAAACAAAACAGGTCCCCAAACCCAACCAAAATATACACCTTTAACAAAATAAATACACATTAAATTAGCCAAATTGCAATTTTATAAAATCGCTCAAACAAGGAAAGCATCCTCACAAACACACATGTACAGGGGAAAAGAAAGCAAAAAACTAAAAAAAAAAACACCAGTCCCCTCTCTCAAAAATCATGAAAAGCAAAAAAACCCAAATAAAAGCAAAAATGCAGTCAAAGCTCCCCTCAAGCCGAAACTACTAAGAGAGAAAGAGGAGGGGGGAAATCTCCAAAGAAATTGAGGGGTTATTAACAAGATTTTAAGAAAATCCCATGGAGGCATGCTGACACAAGCAGGCTGTCAGGTGGCAATAGCAAAAATAATCCAAAGAAATGGGGAAGGAGAATCCCCCCTACCCCAAAAAAAGAAAAGAAAAAATAGGGAAAGGGAACCAAGATGGAGGCCCAGAGGCAACAGCCAGGCAGCCCAATCTAAGGTGGCATGCACCAGGAGCTTCGGAGCACCCAGAATAAGCAACTGAAGCAAAAAGAGGACTCCTCACTAGATTCCAACAAATCTGGCCATTTTGGAAAACACAAATAATTCATGTTTCAGATGCAGGCCTCTTTTAGCTATCCACAAAAGAATGTCAAACAAAAAAAGAAAGAGCCTCTTTTGTGTTTTGGGTCTTTTGTTTAAACACTAAAGGCTTATCCCTAAAGAGGGTATTATTATTATAATACAATGAAACTTTGTTTGCCTGCAACTTCTATTTGTAAGGCAGCTTGATCATATGCATTTTTTAAACATCTGCATTTTTTCAGCTACAATCCAATTCCATTCTTCACACCATCCTGGTTTTGTCTTTTAGGCAGAGATGATTCACGAGGACATAGAAAGTGCGCTTGCTGACCATAAGCATGGGAAAAAGATTCGGCCACAAACACTCAAGTAAGTGCCTACTGCTTTATGGAATCAGGCACCAGCATGCAGCCTGAGAGGAGGCGTTGCCTGGACAGAAGCCACTAGGCTCCTACTGTAGTGTTCTTGTTTAACTTCTGATTCATCATTGCCTGGACAGAAGCCACTAGGCTCGTAGTGTTCTTGTTTAACTTCTGATTCATCTTTTGGTTATTGAAGTTTTAGGTGTATCCTTGGTATATGAGCTTGTCAGGATTAAAGGAAAGGACAGTTACGCCTAGTGTCAAGGGATTTTGAACAACCGAACGAGGGCACAGAAACAAGCAAGGTGTGGTGTGAATTTCCTTTGACTGTAGAAACTGCTATTTGTCCTGAAGATTATAACTGATACACACTAATCTAACAGACATGAGTCACCCTGATGGGTCCAACTGGCAAAAAAGCAGCTTTCAAAGAGTCAGCCATGCTAGTCTTTTTCAGCACATATAGCAAAAATGAAAAATAAAACTAGCAGATTTATTTTAGACAGACCTTTCTTGGATTACAGTCCATTCCTTATACACATGGAGCCATTTGCATCATCCTGAATGGTACTAGCATGAGCTGACATATAGCTTTATCATGTACTGGAGTAAAGGTATGGTCAGACAAGCATTTGTCCTACTGTTTGGTGTACTGCGGAGGCAGGTTGGTTCACTCTTTTTTTCTGCCGATTTCTTGATTAGCACTTCAGACAAGCCAAAAAAAATTGTGCTTCAGCACAGTAAAAAAATATATTTCCCCTTCACAGTGGAGCACAAGTGTTCAATTTGCTGATATCCTGAAGTGGCTCACTTTTTAAATCACTCTTGATACCAAAACTTGACAGCAGAGGGAGCCAGACCAAATATGGTTGCTTGAGCTCCAATATAAATTTGGATGCAAGGACCACACCAAATGGCATATCACACCTTCACAAAACATTAAGCATTTAGACTGCACCAGGCCACTCCAAAAGAGCCCATGTAAATGAGCCCTTTGTCCTCTGGTGCCATTGAATGGATATTCACAGTTGAGTTTTTTTCACCTTGCTACCATCTATAGACCCCTTCACGGATTGCTGCCTTGTCGTGGCGAAGGGGCTTGAGTAATTCAGAGAAGCTATGGGCTATGCCGTGCAGGGACACCAAAGACAGATAGGTTATAATGGGGAGTTCTGACTAGACACGATCCACCTGGAGCAGGAACTGCAAGTCACTCCAGTATCTTTGCCAAGAAAACTCCATGGACAGAAACAAAAGGCTAAAAGATATGACGCTGGAAGATCAGCCCCTCAGGTTGGAAGGCATCCAACATGCTACTGAGGAAGAGTGGAGGACAAGGACAAGTAGCTCCAGAGCTAATGAAGTGGTTGGGCCAAAGCCAAAAGGATGCTCAGCTGCGGACGCATCTGGAAGTGAAAGGAACGTCCGATGCTGCAAAGAAAAATACTGCATAGGAACCTGGAATGTAAGATCTATGAACCTTGGTAAGCTGGATGTGGTCAAACAGGAGATGGCAAGAATAAACATTGACATCCTGGGCGTCAGTGAACTAAAATGGATGGGAATGGGCAAATTCAATTCAGACAATTATCATATCTACTACAGTGGGCAAGAATCCCATAGAAGAAATGGAGTAGCCCTCGTAATCAGCAAAAGAGTGTAAAAAGCTGCTGTACTGGGATACAATCTCAAAAATGATAGAATTATTTCAATATGAATCCAAGGCAGACCTTTCAACTTCACAGTAATCCAAGTTTATGCACCAACCACCAATGCTGAAGAGACTGAAAGTAGGAAAAACCACCTGGTTAATCAGGTATAATCTAAACAAAATCCTTTATGGATACACAGTGGAAGTGAAGAACAGATTTAAGGAACTAGATTTGGTGGACAAAGTGCCAGAAGAACTATGGATGGAGGCTTGTAACATTGTAAAGGAGGCAGCAACAAAAACCATCCCAAAGAAAAGGAAATGCAGGAAAGCAAAGTGGCTGTCCAATGAGGTCTTACAAATAGCAAAGAGAAGGGAAACAAAATGCAAGGGAAATAGGGAAAGTTACAGAAAACTGAATGCTGACCTAAAGAATAGCAAGGAGAGACAAGAGGGCCTTCTTAAACAAAGTGCAAAGAAATAGAGGAAAATAATAGAAAGGGGAAAACCAGAGATCTGTTCAAGAAAATTTGAGATATTCAAGGGACATTTTGTGCAAAGATGTACATGATAAAGGACAAAAAAAATGGTAGGGACCTCACAGAAGCAGAAGACATCAAGAAGAGGTGGCAAGAATACACAGAGGAATTATACCAGAAAGATCTGGATATCCCGGACAACCCAGATAGTGTGGCTGCTGACTTTGAGCCAAACATCCTGGAAAGTGAAGTCAAGTGGGCCTTAGAAAGCATGGCTAACAACAAGGCCAGTGGAGGTGATGGCATTCCAGTTGAACTACAGTGGTGCCTCGCTTAACAGCGCCCCATTCAACGAAAAAATCACATAGCGATGGCTTTTTTGCCATCGCTTTTGCGATTGCACAACAATCTTGCCTATGGGGAAAAATCGCCGAAGCCACCGTGGACCCCGAAGCCACCGTCCCCTGCCGACAATTCCCTTCCGAGCTCTCAAAGGGCCCCCTCCGATATTGGAGAAAGCCCTTTGAGAGCTTGGAAGGCTCTCAGCGGCGGCGGGGGAAGGGTACGGGGGTGTCGAAGGCTTCCAGGCCTTTGCCTGGAAGCCTTGCGGACAACCCCCCC